CAGGCCCCACAAGCATAAAGCAAGACCCTATCTCAAAAATAACCAAAGCAAAAAGGATGGGGGTGTGGCTCAAGTAGTAACAATAAGAGTGCATGCCTAACAAGTGTAAAGCCCTGAGTTCAAACCCCAGTATCACAAAAAAATAAGGTGTGGAATTCATTTGACATTTTCAAAGCACAAACAACTGTTAAAGAGTTGCTTATTTTTATTTACACATTATACTTAGTTTCCTAACATGGCAACAAAAGGAACAACAAACTCAAACATCCCTGTCCAATGATCTTCCTAAAACACTTCAGTCCTCCCAGGTGCCAGGCCTGCTCTTTGGACAAACAAGAACCTAGTCCTTGAAGAAGGCATTCCTCATTCCTTCAGTGACTCCAGGCTAACCCCATTCTCCAGTGTTTTACAACCTGTCCCAAGTCCCTTCCAGCCTGAATTCCACCTACTCTAGTGCCAAGCTACTAGCCCAGTCACATCCTGCCCACCTCTAGAGGCTCTGTCCAGATAGCCAGGGCACCCCCACAGACCCAAGTCTCAGAATACCTGTGCCTTCAGTGAGTCATAGGCTCTGAGAGAGAAAAATGCTTCATTTTCTTACACAGGACCTTACAAATCAAGGACTTGCAGAATCACTAGATTTCTGGAAAACCACATGGCCTAGTACTCTCATACGCACTAAGTCCCACAAAGTGCCAGTCCACAGTGGGCATGATGGGCTCACTAGCCACGACCAAAGTCACTTAAGATATTCATCACAGCCAAACAAGGATCTTTCTCTCTCTCTTCTTCCAAATTAATGCAGCATTTACTATTTCAATAAAATGATGAACCACACTTTTTTTTGGTAATACTGAGGGCTTGAACCCAGAGCCTCAAGCTATGTTCCCCAGCCTTTTTGTTTTGAGACAGGATCTTGCTAACTTCACCCAGGCTGGCCTTGACCTTTCCATCCTCCTACCTCCTGAGCAATGGGATTACAGAGGTGAGCCACCATGCCCATAATCCCAGCACTCAGGAGGCTGACATATGAGGATCTTCAATTCAAAGTCAGTGTGAGCTGCATAGTAAGACCCTGCCTCAAAAACAAAACAAGTAAAAACAACAAAACCCTAAACTATTGTCCTTCATATTCTTCCAAATTCTCTTTGAGCCTTTTAATACAAACTACAAAGTATAAATTCTTTTTAAAGTTGGGACTAGAATAAAATCATGCTGGCTCAAATAAGAGTACAACCATGGACGGTCAGTTTTTTTTAACTCTACAGTGATTTTCAGTTCAATAAGCAAATCTGAAACAAACATTAAGAATATTCTGGCCAGCAATATCAATTATTGAACCATGTTCCACAACTGTAAGAAAGACTGGAGACAACAGCTGTTGATTAGTATTTGAGCTCTGAAAACAGAACTCTAATACAATGATCTTGACCTGGCAAGGGTCTGTTCTACTGCATAGACTAATGTCATGGTCCTGGAATGTTTTAACCAAGTTTTGGCCTCTCTGCTTCTATGAGAGCATGTATAAGTGGATACCGTCAAGAAGTCATGAAATTAAAGTCTGAAAGGATTTTAGGAAATACTGAAAAGATATAAAGAATCTTTATTGATACTTAAAACACCAAAGACATATGGAATCCATTTGGAAATATCTGCCACAGGAACAACACAATTAGCTTTGACCAAGGTCTACGGCATGCTCCGGTGAGTGTACAGCATATCTGAAGCAACAGTGTGTATTTCAGACTTTGAAGGAACCTTCCAAAAGATCTGAGAAAAGACTTAAACACAAAACTAAAACATAGTGAAGATAATATCAATGTCAGTCCAATATAAAGTCAGAGAAAACTGAAAAAAAACAAAACAAAAGTATATGCTATACTGGATTTTTTTTTCTTCTGTATTTCTAGTTAGATGCATGCTATTATTTCATCGCACAAACCCAGTGGTACCTTGTAAAAAAAAAAAAATTTTTTTTTTGTGGTACTGGGGATTGAACCAGGACCTTATGCATGCTAGGCAAACAGTAAACCACTGACCTACACCCCCAGTCCAAAAGGAAAAAAAATTTTTTTTTTGGCAGTCCGGGAGTTTGAACTCAGTTTCACACTTGCTAGGCAGGTGTGCTACCACTTCAGCCATACTTCCAGTCCATTTTTCTCTAGTTATTTTGGAGATAGGGGTCTCACAAACTATTTGCTTGGGCTGGCCTTGAACCACAATCTTCCTGACCTCAGCCTCCCAAGTAGCTATGATTACAGGTGTGAGCCACCAGTGCCTGGGCAACAGAACTGTTATGTTGGCATGCTGACCGGTGCCACCTCAGATCTATAAAGGAACCCATTTAAAAGATACGTACATACCCAGTCTCTCAGTGACTCAGATCAGCTGAGATATAGGTAACTGTTTCTTCATCAGTTGAGTATGTTTCCATGATTTACCCTCAATATAATGAGGACAAAAGTTTCTAAACATTCTAAAAACAGAGACTACTGTCAGTTTTCTATCCACTGTTTCTTATGTGCTAGGGATGGAACCCAGGGCCTTGTACATGCTAGGAAAGCACTCTACTGCTGAGCTACACCCCCAACTCTTTATCCATGACTTCAAAAATCTTTTTAAATTAGCTCTCAAGTCTTTCCATCAGTAAAATGATGAGACAGGATCCTGATATACAGCCTGATATCCTGATATACTGGCCTTGAATTAGTGAACCTTGTGCCTCAGCCTCTTCAGTGCTGGGATTACAGGCATGTGCTACCATGCCTGGATTAAAACGATTATTTTTAAAACATAAAGCTGTATCTAATGTACTCTTAAGTTAATTTTTAGTGTTATTTGTTTTTTACATTTTTCCAGTTTTCAAACTTCTGTGTATCTAGTAGAGTTCATCTTTCACTACTGTGATTTTTTTTTTTTTTACTTTGAAAAATGATTTGTGGACACACAATAGCATACATAATACATAAACAATGCTGGGCACAGGTGGCTCACACCGGTCGGTAATCCTAACTATTCAGGAGGCAGAGATCAGAAATATACTCACTTATCAAGTTCAATCCCCAGTACCACCAAATAAAATAAATCAATGCTGAATATGGTGTACACACCTGTAATCCAAGCAGTCAAGAGGCTGAGGCAGAAGGATCACGAGTTCAAGGCTAATATGGGCTACATAGTGAGACCCTGTCTCAAAAAAAGGGGGGGAGTATTTCATTTCTGCATAATTACTCTAAGTTACAACAGCTTTTACACTTACACAATTCAACTTTTTGAACTTAAACTTCAAATATCAACCGAAACACTAAACTTAAACTCAAGAAAAGCTTTTAAAACAATTTCTACATTTCATTAGTACCAACCACCTTCGTAATTCATTCACCTTCCACCATTTTTTAAAGCAAATGATACCTTAAAAAAAAGGAGATGCTGAGACATTACTTCATTGTACAGATGCTAAAATCCCTGTTAACAAAGCCAGTCCTCTGTCAGGACGGGCAGAAGTTCCCAGGCTTTATGGTCACCTGGGTAGCCACAGGGATGACTCTTCCCTGTGCACAGCTGGAGGTTAAAAAAAAAGTATACCTGGCTCCCACCTCATCAGCCTTCCTACTCATCTCCATGGCAAGGCTCGCTCTACTCTGCACAAAGTCTGAATTATGCTTGCCCACTGAAAGGTCAATGTATTTCCAAGTTCAGCATACAGAATTCAACACAAATGGATTTTCTGCTTGTTTTGTTGTTGTTTTTAAGACAGGGTCTTGCTATGAACACAGGCTGGCCTATATGCTGGCAACTACGCAGCTCAGGCTGGCCTTGAATTCATGATCCTCCTTCCTCAGTCTTCCTACTGCTGGGATTGCAGATGTACACTACCACAGTGCCTGGCTTAACAGGAATGGTTCTAGCTAAATGGTAGTAAAACTTCCTAAATTCTCAAGACTACATACATCATTTCCTTTGTTGTGACATCAACTTTTTTGTAAACAATAAACAGCCAGATTAAAAGGCAATTAGTTTTCATCCAAGGTGTTTTGGCACCCCCCCCCAAAAAAAAAGCATCCAGTAGGTCACAAACACTGACTTTCTGCAGACGCACATAAACAGACCACAGGTACACGCCATCCCAGAGAATTAAGAAAAAGCACAGCTCTGGCCAGCATCTCCAACAACTGAAAGCAGTTAAAACCTCCAGTTGGTGGACAACGGCTGTACTTGCAATGATCAAGACACGAGCCCCTCAGGAATAATTACCATTTCCTAGAAAGCAAGTTGTTTTTTCCAGCACAGTAAATGCTAACTTTATCAAACCACAGAACCAAGCTGACTTGTGTTGCAGCATGACTGACAGTTCCCTGGGAGGATCACTCAACACTGTTACGACTCTGCAGTCACTTATAAACAACCAAATCCTTTTTCAAAGAAAAAGTTGTTTTTTCCAAAAACTTAAGGTTTGCAGGCAGATTTAAAAGCTGGAGTTTTCGATGTCTAGGCTACCAAAATCACAGCAGGGTCACAAGAGGTCCTTGAGGTTTAAGGGGCCGCACTCCGAACGAGGTGCAAGCGCGTGTACAAAGAGAGGCGGCCGACACCGGGCTTCCACTCGGGGCGGTCCTCCCGCTCCCCGCGGATGAACCACAAACCCAACTCCCAGGACGCACGGACAGGTGAAGGCCTGCGGGGCAGAGGACCCGCAGGGGATGGGCGGGGGGGGTGGGGGGGGGCTGGGTCCTGGCTGGGGACCCAGCGGGTCACTCGTGGGTCCGGGCGGGCCGTGAGCAGGACAAGGCCGGCGGACAGGCTTGGGTCCCCCTGGAGGGGTGGGGGGTGCGGGCCGAGTCTTGGGGGGGGGATCGGGGTCGCCCTATCGTGGGGCCGCCCCTGCTTGGGAATCGGGGGGTCAGGCCCTGGGTCCGGTCCTAGCTACGGCCCAGCTCGTAGGTCCGGCCCGGCCCGGGTCCAGGCCGCAGCCCCCGTCCGCCGGCCCGCCCGCCACTCACACGCGCGGCAGCTGCAGCGGCGGCGCCCCGCGCCGCTGGAACACGCCGTCCACGAACACGCCGTTCTTGCCGAGGCAGCGCAGGTAGAAGTCGCCGCCCGCGTCGGGCCGGGGCTGCGCGGGCTCCGGGGCCGCCGCGCCATGGCCGCCGCCCGGGGGCGTGAAGATCTCCAGGTGGCGCCGCGAGATGAAGCTCGAGTGGCCCATGCTGACGTCCACCGAGCCCTGCGACGAGTTGCGCCCGATGGTCACGGAGCGCTTCTTCATGAGGTACTCGAACTCGCGGCCCTCGAGCCGCGCCACGGCCCAGCCGCCCGGCGGGGACCCGCCGCCCCCGGCCCCGCCACCCGCGGGAGGGGCGCCCGCGCCGAGAGCGCCGCAGCGGCCGCCATCGCCTGCGAGGCCCGGCCGATCCGCGCGGGCCCCTGGCGGGCCGAGGCCCGGGCGCGGTCGTGGGCCGCGCGAGCCGAGCACGGGCGCCGAGGCCGCCGGCCGGCGAGGAGAGCGGCGAGGGCGGGAGCTCGCGCGGCCGCGCACCGCCGCGCGACAGACGGGTGCGCCAGCCAATGGGCGCGGCGCACGCAGTGGGGCTACTGCTGCCGGCCAATGGCGAGCCGCGCCGCCGAGCGCCTGCACGTCGGGCAGCGTCGCGCGACGTAGGTCGTCTCGGACGGCGTGGAAAAACTGGGGTGGAGTACGGAGCCCGCTCGGGGGCTGGTGCGCGCGGGGCGCGGGCGGGGACCAAGGTCAAGGCGGGCGCTGGCGGCCACCCTCGCGCTGGTGTCGCGATTGCCACCGCGGCGGGCGCTGTCCCGGGCCCCATGCCGGTCCCCGCAGCCTTCGAGGCCCCTTCCCGGCGGCAGGCCGCGCAGACCCTCCGCGCGGTGCCCGCGAACCCGCCGCGCTCGGCTTGGTCGCCACCGCCCTCGATTTTAACCCAAACCTAAGCTGATCGGATGAACTAGAGTTACGTTCTCAGCAATTTATTCGAACTTAAAAATTGAGATCCCACCCGCCCATCGGATAACCGGTGGTCGCTGAGACTCCTTCCATTAAAAAAGAACAGGGCCGCAGGTCCTCCAGGTCCTGCAGTCGCAGATGTCCCGGGTCAGGGCCTCCAGAGACCACAACCCAGACTCCAGGGTCCTCAGCACTCCTATGGCAGTCAGTGCACCTGTTCGCTTCTGCCCGGGAGGCTTGCGGGCCTTGAGCAACTGGCACACCAACACCCAGGCCCCTGGTGCGGCAGTGGAGCCCCGGTGTCCCGTTACTGCTGATCGTTGAGTGAAGGACAGATAGACACAAGCCCAAAAAGGGGATCAGTGTGAGAGGAAAAGCCGAGAGGAGGCTGGACTTAACCTGGACAGGATAGGCAGGCCTGGCCCTGTGGCTCAAACTTGTAATCCCAGCTAGTCAGGAGGCAGAGGTCGGAAGGAGCACGGTTGGAGAACGGCCCTAGCAAAAATGTTCTTGAGATCCCATCTCAACCAATGGCTGGGCACGGTGGTGTGAGCCTGTCACCCCAGGTTCCCAGGGAGGCACAAATAGGAGGATCATATCCAGGTCAGCTGGGGCATAAAGGAAGACCCTGTGTCAAAAATAACCAGTAATCCCAGCTACTCAGGAGGCAGAGATAGGGAGGACTGAGGTTCAGGCCAGGCTGGGCAAGAAGTTAGTGAGAATGCCATCCCAATTTAAAAAAAAATGGCTGAGCATGGTGTCGGCATGCCTGTGATCTCAGTTCTACTGGAGACATAAGTAGGAGAATCAGCACATCACTATCCAGGTCTACCTGAAAGATAACTAAAGCCAAAAGGTCTGGGCTAGTAGATAGTAGAGCACTGTCTAGCAAGTATGAGGTCCTGAGTTCAAACCACAGCACCAAAAAAAGAAAAGATCAGGACTGAGAGTTCAGCTCAGTGGTAGAAGGCTTGTCTAGCATGTTCAATGCCCTGGGCTCCATCCCCAGCTCTCATAAGAAGAAAGGAAATCTAGGCAGGGGTGAATTCAACTATGAGATATTGTAAGAACTTCCGTAAATGTCACAATGTACCTCCAGTATGACATAATAAAAAATAATTAAGTTTTAAAAAAAGAAAGGAAATCTATGCATGACAGGTGAACATTTCATGGGATGTCCACACATTGGGATGTATCTTTTTTTTTTTGCAGTGCTGGGGTTTGAACTCAGGTCCTACACCTTGAGCCACCACACCAACCCTTTTTTTTTTTTTTTAATGAAAGGTTTTTTTCAAGATAGGGTCTCTTGGACTATTTACCTGTTACGTAGTTTGTGGTTTCAAACTACAATTCTCTTGATCTCTGCCTCCTGAGTAGCTAGGATTACAGGCGTGAGCCACAGGCCCCTGGCTGGGATGTATCTTTTTTAAAAAGTGGAAGTGATGAATCTTCCTGGGTGCAATGAGGGCTGTCAGGTGTGGGGTGCACAGGGGGTGTACAGCTCTGTGCACCTCACCTATGGCCTAGGTCCCAGCAAAGGTCAGGAACAGATCACACTAGACTCCTAACAAGGGCTCCTCCCATTTCTTAGGATTCTGTCCTTTCCTATAAAAATATCTGCATGTCTTACTTTTGTAATTTTGGTTTTAAATTACACTTCAAGTTTAGAAAACACGATTGGGACCTAGGCATGTAGCTCAGTGGCGGAGCTCTTGTGCTTCAGGCCCTGAATTCCATCTCCAACACTGAAAAAAGTCCATAATTGCATTGCTTAAATACTAAAAATTGACCCAGGCACAGTGGCACATGTCAGTAATCCCAGCTACTTGGGAGGCAGAGGTGTGGAGGGTCACGGTTTGAGGGAGCCCAGGTGAAAATTTAGGGGGACCCTGTCTCAATCAATAAGCCAGGCATGGTGGCACACACCTGTGGCCCCTGCTACAGGAGGCCATAGGGAGGAGGATCTTAGTCTGAGGTCCTGAGCAAAAAACTCAAAGACTCTCTGAAAACAAAACAAAACAAACTAAAGCATGCTAAGTGAGCACAAGGTGCTGAGTTCAAATCCCAGTACACTAAAGAAAGAAAGTTAAAATCATAAAATATTATAGACCCATTTGATTTTAGAATCAAGTGAAGATTTACCGATGGACAATACATATACTCCCAATTGAATTTCATGCTAAACAAATGACAACTTCAGATATGAATCTTATGATAGTTATTTTTAAAATAGTACACCAAGAAAATGCTTAAATTTACTGTCATTAAATCAGAACTTAAAAGTGACTGTGAGCCGGGCAGGTGGCTCATGCCTGTAACCCTAGCTACTTGGTGAGGCCATCCCGGGGAAATAGTTCATGAGACACTCATCTCCAAAATCACCAGAGCAAAACACACTGAAGGTGTGGCTCAAGCATTAGAGCACCTGCTTTGCAAGCACGAACCTCTGATGAGTTCAAATGCCAGTCCCACAAAAAAAAAAAAAAAAAAAGAGAGAGAGAGAGAAAGTTAATGTGGCTGTGATGGGTGTGGTGGCCCATAGCTGTAATCCCAGCTCTTGGGAAAGTCAAGGTGGGAGGATCTCGAGTTCGGGGCCAACCCAGATAAAGTTAGTCAGGCCCTATCTCAGAAACAAAATATAGCCAGGTGCTGGTGGCTCACGCCTGTAATCCTAGCTATTCAGGAGGCAGAGATCAGGAGGGTTGTAGTTCGAAGTTCTATGAGACCCTATGTTGAAAAACCCTGAGTTCAAGCCCCAGTACCGCAATAAAAAAAAAAAAAAGAAAGAAAATATAAAATCCATAAGTCTGGGGGTGTGGGTCAAGAGGTAGACCATTTGCCTGGCAGGCATGAGGCCCTGGGTTCAGTCCCCAGTACTGAAAAAAAATGTGCTTCTGAGGCTTCATCTATCAAAACTGCTTCTCCAGCTGGGCACAATGGACCTATCTGGAAGGAAGAAGTCAGGGGATGAGAGGAAGAAAGACAAAGACACCTTCACAGACCTCCCTTAGGTGTCTCTGGTACTGGAAGAGATGTGTTCCCAGCTCTCTGGGGCAAGGAGGAGACCAACCTGCAGGCCCCAGTTTGCAGTCATGTCCTGGAACCAGAGATGACTTCACTTCCAGGTGCAGCTCCATGCACCCTGGGGTCAAGCCCTGTGCAGCTGCCCTGTGTCCCTCTGCGTTCTGAGTCATACAGATGTAAGCTGAAGAAGATCAGAGGATCAGGGACAGCATGGGAGGGAGAGACAGAGCCACACAAAGGCCTGGGCAGCACCCTTTCACGTGCCCAGTGCCACAGCTGAGGGTTCAAGTCATCTCCAGTCACCTGAGCCTTGATGTTCAGCTGTGCTTCATTTGCACGCTGCCTTTTTGAGCCTCTGTGACTGACACTGGGGTTCCCCAAAGCCTCGAAACTCACCTACATGTGAGACATGGAACTGACTCAAATTCCATAGTGGCGGGCTGTTTCTACAGAGGCCAACAGCTTGGACCAACAGCTCAAATCTCCCATGAGGCCAGCTCTGTCCCCAAGCCCCTGCATGCACACCCCAGCTGCCTCACTCTGCAGCTCAGTCTGGGTCAGGCCTGACCACCATCTGTCTCCCCAGTGGTCCTCTGAGCCTTGGGGAGCTCGTGGTGGGGTCAGTGCATCTGCTACAGTTTAAGGCTTGGAGCAAATGAATGCTCGGATCAGTTACTGCTTGTTGGCTAATCCACTACCTGAGCTCCTGAGCGTCTGTGAATTGCAGAGGGTCTGCAGACCTCCCTCTCTTGCATCCTAGAAGCCCAGGGACCAGATGCAGGACATTGAGAGAGAACCGGCAGTGAACCCCTGTGCAACAGGTGAGGCACCTGCTTTGGAGCGGATCCTGATGTAAACAGCCTCCAACCCAGCAATTACTTGGCTGGCAATGCAGCTAGTAGAAACAATCCAAAGAAGCTTTATCATATACTCTGGTTTCTCTTCAGATCATATAAATCTTTCTCCCTCTGCAAAATAAGCTTTATGGGCTGGAGAATAAAGTATATGCCTAACACATGAGAGGTCCTGGGTTCAATTTCCAGCAACACACACACACACACACACACACACACACACACACACACACAAGCTTCAAATAAACCTCCATTCAGTTTGTCTTATTTCAATTCAGCATTTACAGAGAGCTACATCCACAGAAGACACTGCTGTATTCAGGAGTGGAAAGGTGAGCAGACAGGGATCCTGCTTCTAATAAATGAGAAATAAGAAGACACCTTGAGCCACTCCACCAGCCCCCCTCCCTTGCTGTGGACAGATGGTGAGAACAGGAACCACTGTAGGTAAGCTGTTGTAAACAGGTTATGCACACACATTTCCTGGCCCTATCCCCTGAGAGGGCCTAGAAATGATGACAGTCCCGTGGCAGCGAGCCCACCCGGGCCCAGAT